TAGTTCCTCTTTGAAAAAATGAGTTGGACGAACTCAGTCATAGATGGTTAGGGTAAGGAAAGGCCTCTGTGTTCTTTTAAGACTCGCCAACATTAAAAGCCGGGTCTCCTGGCTGTATCTTGAATTGCTTGAATTGAAATGGATCTCCTTTATTGAATGTGAACTCCCAGAGTGCTCAGGGCAGTATTGGTGGCAATTCAATAATGCATAATTGTTGCTGGTGATGAAAAGTATCTCTAATCAAAGAGGAGAGAGAGTAGAGGAGCATGTATCTTTTTTTTTTTCCCTTTGTGACTTGATAGAAAATGTTTCTCTTTCTGTCTTGCTATCTGTTAGCCTTACAGATGTATGACATTTATGCATCATTACTGGATCACATGTATGACAATTTTTTGTTTTAAGTTAGGAAAGAAAAGAAAAAATATATGGAAGTGACGTGGTATTATTTGGAATTTCTGGCTATTCAAGTGTTCCAAAACCAAGTCACAAAAGTGAAAGCCACTCTATATGTACGTTTCTTTCCTTCCTGCCCCACTCCACCCGAAAGCTGGTTGTTAGACATTTACCACTACACCACTGATTGGAGGGGAAATGGAAAGACCAGCAAATGGAATGTTTCTCTGGTATTGGGGCAAGGGTGGATAAAAACAAATCCAGAACATTGGTCAGTCCCCATTCTCTCATTTCCAAGAAGGCCGGTAGAATCTATTTGGCAGAATGTCTGGCAGCTGGTCCTTGAGAAATACGTCCACACCAGTGTGCAGTCATTGGCAGGCAGTCTATGGCAGCAACTGGCAAGCGTCCTTTCCTGAGAGGAAAATCATGACAAGAAGCCCGCAAGGATTCTTGGTGAAGGTGTCTTGTATGTTTGGGTGGGGAGGCAATATGGCAAATGGGATATAGCATGAGATTTGGAGTCTGAAAGGCTTGGCTTTGAATCCTGCCCCTGATACTAGTTGTGTGACGGGGTACGAGTCTGTCAACACCACCAACACATTTTACTGCAGCCCATTTACGAGGTTATGAGCCAGCAACCTTTGAGTGACTGACTGACAATCTGCCTTAGAGCCTCTTAGCCCATCTGAGCCTCAGTTTCCTTATTTGTAAAATATAGGTAATTATGACCATATTACCTACCTCATAGGGCTCTTGTGAGGCTCACATGAGACCAGTTGTGTTAAGCCACTTATCTTTAGCTATATATCTATAGCTAATAGTTGGAAGAGTTGCACTGGACTGTGGTTTCAGATGAGGTGATTCCTTCTACCAATCTCTGCAATATAGTCTTAGAGAGTCATCTAGGACTCTGAGTGGTGAAGTGACTTGCCCAAGGTCACATAGCCAGTATATGTCACAGTATTTGACCTCAGGTCTTCTTGACCCCAAGGTCAAATTTGTATCTGCTATACTATTCTGTCACTGTCTATCTAGGAATTGTGTATGTATGCATAAATATATGTATATATGTATGTATGTATGTGTGATGTATGTATATATGCATACATGTGCAATGCATACAGTCTTTAAAAAGTCTGTGTGGTTTTCAGCTTATGCACATGTATATACACACATACAAAAACATGTATGTTATATATGCATGAACACATATGTTCATGGAAATATGTATGTAGACCTCTGTGGATGATAAGGTCCTCTAGATGATCTTGTTTGTGGATGATATCACGCTTACTGCACAGTCTTCTGGAAAAGATCTAGAACCATTCAAAAGGATTTGGCCTATCCTGGAAAAACCAAGTGGATGATGAATGTTTGTTGCTCAGATTATGGCATGCTCTTGGTGGGCCACCTATAGAGCTTATCTATCAGTCTATTATATCTCTCTCTCAATCATCTCTTTGTTTCCCTATCTCGGTCAATCTCTCTATTTCTCTATCCACTTATCTATCTAGGATAGGCAGTACGAGTGGACAAAAAGTTGGGTCCATAATTAAACAGGAGGAGTGAGGCTAGATTGCCTTCAAGAAATTACAAAGCTCCCTTAATAACTCAGGATAAAGACCCATATTCTGTCAGTGTTGTTGTATGACTTAGCATCATGGGATGTTATAGACACTGAAGAATTAAAAATGAGGAGCACACAGAGGGCAATGAAGATACTAGCACATCATTAGTGTGAACAGGCTGTGACATCATCGGTGTGAATGGGCCATGCCATCACTGGTGTGAACAGACAGTGACAGCATTGGTGTGAATGGATTGAGATAGCACCGGGGCGTGAACAGGCTGTGGCACCATTGGTGTGAACAGGCGGTGGCAGAATTAGTGTGAACAGGCTGCAACATAAAATGGAAAGAACGAGAAAGAAGGTTGGCTAGTCATGTGATGACAATGAGAAGTGGAGCTGTGTATGGAGACAGAGACAGTGCTTTTCATTCTTTGATCAAATCCAATGTGGTAACAGGGAACAAATCTGGGCAGAACATAAGAGAATGGTTAATTGAGTTTTCTTTACCTTGATTTTCATATAGTGCTTAAGATTTTGAGCACCTCTCTGGAGTTAACAAGAGACTGAGTGTCCAGGGTGAGTTCTTTCAGGTCTTAGGAAGTTCCTCTGGCCCTTCTTCACTTATCACAAACTTTTCAATGATGTCCTCTGCCAGGGAAGGTTGAGGCAGGAGAACAGAGTTCTAGCTTTCCACATATGTCTGACTCTGGGTTATTATTAGCTTCTGGTCTCTATTTGCCCCCTTTACACTTCAAGTTAGGTCGATAAAAAAACTGCTCTATCAAGCAGTTTTAATTTTCAATTATTTTAGCTTGCTGGGTTATTCCTGTTTATTTTGACATGTGCTGTTGATGAATGAGGTCATAAAAGTTAGAGATGCAAGCCATATACAATGACTATGAAAGGATAGAAAACTGTCTTAGAAGATAGGAAGAGCTGGGTTCAAGTCCCACCTGACACAAACTGGTTATGTAACTCTGGGTGAGTCAGTTTATCTCTGCCTGCTTCATCTATCTATCTGTCTGTCTGTCTGTCTGTCCATCTATCTATCTATCTATCTGTCTATCTAATCTGTTTGTCTGTGTCTGTCTATCCATCCATCCTTCTATCTATCCATCCTCTATCAGTACTTCAGGCAACTCTCTCAGACTCTAAATAGAGAAAAGATACCAAGCTGTATTGGTAGAGAGAGTTCCCCCCGCCTGTGAAATCCCAGGTCCGCTCCTGCAGTCAGCATACTTCTTGATCAGCCATCACTCTTGGGGAATATGGAGGTGGCAGGGTCTGACTGTGTCTAGAGATTCTACTTCCCAGAGACTTTTTGCACTTTGGCAGCCTTTAGTAACTCCTTTGCTTACATGCCAAGCTTCCCTGCTCTGTCTTTGATGACACCCAGCAACCAGCAAATAGCCAGTGAGACATTCTATTTTGGAAGAGCTCAGTGCTTGGAATGTGGGATCACAGAAGCCCCAGAAGGGAAATGAAAGGGAAATGAAAGGCCAAATGGCCTTGGCCAGGTCTAGGATGCTAGCAAGTGAGACGTGCACAAATGTAAACACAATGAAGATTTTCTTTCTGGCTGCCATGACTCTTTCTCAATTCTCCTGAAATGATGCCCCCCAAAACAACTCGTTAGCTCCAGGATTCCCTCATTCTGTATCTCTTGCTCACTATGGGCTAAATTTCCAACCAGCACTGCATACCGTACTGCAGATGGAACACAGGAAATCCTATCTCCCTTGCCTCATCAAATAACAATAGAAGATAATGGTGCCTTGGAAAAGATAATCACCTTCATTTTCAAAAGCTGAGTCCTTTTGCAGACACTGATACCTCTTCCGATGTTTTAGATCATACTTAATGTGAAATATAAGATTTGTATGCCGCCTTTCTCTCCACCTCCGTAACACCAGGCCCTGACAGTGGGTCTTCAGATTATAACCAGAGCTGTCTCTGGCTGCTCTGACCAATATGACATGATTTTCAAGGCTGACAAAGAGCCCTAGAGTCTTTCTTGGGTTTTTCAGATTTTTATGATAGTCTTGGAGGAGGCTGTTTATGGTTCTCCAGTCCTCCTCTGATCCCAAACCATGGATTTAGACCTGGAAGGGACTTAGGAGATTATCCAGTTCACTTCATCCATTTTACAGATGTGGAAACTGAGGCCCAGAGAAGTGACTTGCCCAAGGTCATGTAGATAGTCCCAGTTTTAGCCCTAAATTCTGGGATGAGCCAATTTAGGGTGCAAGAATATGACCCTGGAGCTGCTCAGTAGCCTCCATCCTGAGAAAGTTCATTCCTATCAGCATGAAAAAGAGTTCTCTTTCTCTTCATCTCCTTCTCCCAGCTCCCTGGCTTTCTTCAAGTCTCAGCTCAGATCCCATCCTCTGCAAGACCTGATCTCCCTTCATGCTAGAGCCTTCCCTCTATTGCTTGCTTCCACTTTATCTCACCTAAACCTGGTTTGTACAGAGCCGTTTGCCCATTGTTTTTCCTATCAAAGCTGAGCTCCTCCAGGGCAGGGACTGTCCTTTGCCTTTCTGTGTCTCCCCAGTGCTTAGCACAGTGGCTGGCACATATGGTGATGTTTACTTGTTTTCAGTCCTGTCTGAAGCTTCCTGACCATATTAACGGTTTGACCTTATCTTGGCAAAGGTACTGGAGTGGTTTGCCATTTCCTTCTCCAGCTCATTATACAGATGAGGAAACTGAGGCAAGCAAGGTTAAGTGACTTGCCTAGAGTCATACAGCTAATAAGTGTCTGAGGCTGGATTTGAACTCAGGGAGATGAATTTTCCTGACTCCAGGGCCACTGCTCTCTCCGTTGCACCACCTCGCTGTCCTTAGGTGGCATATAGTAGGCATGTAATAAATACCTGTTAACTTGACTCCTTCCTCAAAATTCCTTCAGACTGTAAGCTCACTGAAGGCAACACTGTCTCTCTTTTTATTAATTGCATCCCGGATGCTTAGCACAATGCCTGACATGTTGTATGCACTTGATAAATGTTTACTGAATTCGAGTGGCATCGCGGAAATGGATCAGAGCTGGACTTGCAGAATCTGAGTTTGAATCCTCGCTCCTCCACTTGTAGCTTGTGTGATCTCCCTGGGCCTCAGTTTCCCCATCTGTAAAACAAGGTGGTTGGACTCAATGGCTCTGAGGTCTATGAGCCTCTAAGCACCTTATAGTCCTTTAAGCAATGCCTGTTTGCTGTTAACAGATTTCACTTCCCCTTAGGAAATACTTTCAGCAAGGATTGGTTCTGGTGTTCCTAAAGACATTAAGACTCTTCACTTCCAGAGGAGCTAGGGTTGTAGAAAACACCAGGAATTGGACAGAGAGTTGGCCTGGGAGTCTGGAAGACCTATCTTTGTTCTATGCTGGCTGCATGACCCTGGACAAGTAATTTCACCTCTTGGTGCTTGGTAACTCCTAAAACCATAATAAGATGCAGAGATGGCGCCCACCTGCACTGGTAGGAGGAATTTCATACTCTGGAGATTCCCATACCAATAGTCACAGGACCAGTTCCTATTCCTATTTATATTTGCACAAAACGCTCTTCTCACCATGACCCTAAGAGGTAAGTAAGAAGGAAACAAGCATCCATAAAGTACCTACTATGTGCTAGGAAATGCTTTATAAATATTATCTCCCTTGATCCTCACGACAACACTTGGAGGGAAGTACTATTATTATCCCCATTTTACAATTGAGGAAACTGAGGCAGACAGGTTAGGCAACTTGCCCATGGTTATACAACTGATAAATGTCTGAGGATGGATTTGAACTCGTCTTCTTGATGCTAGGCCTCTACCAAGCCTTAGAAGTCACTGAATTCAACCTCCTCATTTTATTTTTAATTTAAAAATGTTTTACTGATTTTTTTTTTTGTTTTATACCACAGTCAGTTCCCAATAACTGCTCCTCCTCTGCCAACTTCCCTTTATGACAAAGAAAAACAGTTAAAACTAACTCACCAAGGCAGGTCAAATTTGATAATGACGTTTCATACAGGTAGTTTAGTAGCAGTGACAACAAGGACAGCTAGCACTAATCTAATACTTTAAGGATTGCAAGAAAAGAGAAGTATGTCTCACCACTGATCCTCTCTTCTCAATCAATCCATCAACCAACCAGCATCTATTAGGCACTAATTTGTACCAGGCACTGCAGTCAGACAAAAATGGCTCAATCAGTCCTAAGAATAGCATTGCATTTATAATGATCTCCGATGACTCTTAGTTTTCTTTTCGTATGTGTAATTGTAGTTTTTGTGTCTATTTTCTTTGCTCTACATACGGTTCATTTAAGTCCTCCCCGTGTTTCTCTGGCCTCTTTATATCCACTGTTTCTTATCGTGAAGTAGCATTGCATTTGGGCACCATGATTTGTCCAGCCCTTCCTCAATCTACTTTGTTTCCAATTTTTTGTGACTACAGAAAAGGGCTGCTGGGAATATGTTGGTATATATTTTGGTGCATGTGGGACTTTTCTCTTTGTCTTTGATCTCATTGGAACACAGACTCAGAGGTGCAACCCCTTCACGCTACAGAAGAGAAATTCGAGAACTTGACAAGGGAGATTCCAATTTGTCATTCATTACATTGCCGACATTTTCTTTTTATTATAGTTGTTCTTCTGAAGACCCTGATGATCTGGTTCAAGGTCTGGGCTAGGAATATTTAGAGGGTTGGCAATCTATTGGTCACCCAAACTGTCGGACTAAATGCCTAAAGGACTTCTAACCCTCACGGAATCACCGAATTTCAAACATTAGTAGGACTTTGGATGAGGAAACTCAGCTGCCTTTCTAGACTTTGACCATCATAGTTTCACCTTGGTTGGCCAGCATGTCAGATTTTGCATTAGCTAAAAAAATTTCCTATCTTCCAAAAAAAAAAAAGTGAATATGCCAGTGCTTAGACTACAATAAGTGGAAAAAAAGTCTTTTCCAGTTACTTTTAAATTGATGAATAATCTCTTCCTAATGTCTCTATTTGTGTCACAGACATTTTTATTTCCCCAGATCCCAAATAAAGGTCATTGTCTTTCATGGATTACTCATAGTGTTTGGGTGTGAAAATAAATATGGTCAGGGTAATTAGAAATCATTTAAATAATTTCATACAATGATTCCCAGGAAGAAAGAAATTAAGCTTGATAACCTAGATGATAAATCTGAGAGGACAGAAATGTTGAGTCACAATAAAGATGAAAGGGAGAAAATAGGGTCAGAATACTAGATATATCTGCCTGTGCCATCTAGGGATATTGGGTCACTTTTCCTTTCACAGCTGTAAAGGGCACTGGTACCATCACCATCATCAGTTGCAATAGATGTGTTGGTCAGTTTTCTTACACTGCAATTTTTCTTTTTTAAAACTTTGTGGCAAAGAAGGGCTCACTGGGCAGGAGAATGATGCATGCAGAAAAGAAAATGATGTGAAAATAAAAGATACCAACTTTAAACCTCCCCTCTCCCCTCCTCTACTTTCCCTTACTCACCATTCACTATCATATGGGAATATGAGATTCAAGAGCCTGTTCGCAGCCAAACAGCTTTTACCCGGAGTTCCTTGGTATTAATGCTATTGAATAATAGTCCACACCCACAGTTATCCACTTCTAGAATGAAAGGGGTAAAGGACAGTGTGTATCTTCTCAACTCTTTTCCAGGATCATGCTTGGTCAGTAAAATGACAATGTTCATTTTGGTGGATTTTGTTTTATTATTGATTTTCTATATACATATATGCCATACATATAATATAATACATAACATGTATGTTTAGTTTTTTGTGTATGTTGTTTTCCTGATTCTTTCTACTTCACTCTGCATCAGTTCATATATATTTTCCCATGCCTCTCTGTTACTCATATTCATTGTTTCTTAGGATATGGTAATAATAATAATAATAATAATAATGATAATAAAAGGTAACATTTATATAGGGCTTACCATGTGCAAGACACTGTGCAATTATTATCTCATTTGATTCTCACAACAAACCTATCATTGTTTTCATTTTACAGATGAGGAAACTGAGGCAAACAGGGGTTATGTTGCTTGCCCAGGGTTGCACATCTAGCAAGTATCTGAGGTCAGATTTGTAGGTCTTCCTGATTTCAGGCCTGTCGTTAAATCCATTGCACTACCTGAACTGCCCCAATGGTAGTATTCCATTACCTTCATGTAACACAATTAGTTTAACCATTCCACATTTGATGGCAAAATTTTGTGGAAAGGAGGAGGCCAAGAAATGGATGAGTAACTGGAATCCATTTTGTCTATCCATGCAAGGCTGCCTGAGGGGTCAGAGTGGGACTATTTGTATTTGGCTGAGGCGGGCCAGTGTAGACTGGGAACCAAAGAGGTCAGGTAGAGACTTCAGGAAGCTGATAGGCAGAAGCAGAAAGGAAGTTGGGTGAGACATACCAAGTGACTGAAACTGAAAAGCCCTTTAACAAGATTTAGCTCAAAGCCCTGGATTCCTTGTTTAATTACTTTTTAAATTATATATATGTGTATATATATATATATATATACATACATATATATATGTATATATATATGTGTATATATATATACATATATATATACATGTATATGTATATATGTGTATACATATATATATATATACACATATATGTATATATACTTTATTATTGGTTTCTTTATGCCTAATGGAGAAAGGGATACCAATGGTTACTCCTTCCCCTAGTCAAAAACTGTCTCCTTAGCTGTTTTACCCGTTGATCCTTCTCAATCTCTCTCTCTCTCTCTCTCTCTCTCTCTCTCTCTCTCTCTCTCTCTCCATTCCTTCTTCCCTCCCTCCCTCTCTCTCTTCATCTCTCTGTCTCTGTCTCTCTGTCTCTCTTTGTCTCTCTCTGTGTCTCTCTGTCTCTGTCTCTCTCTCTCCCAAAATGCTTTGTTTCTGACCACCACCTCCCTCAATCCACCCTCCCTTTTATCAGCCCCTCCCCCTTCTCATCCCCTTTCTCTCCTGCTTCCCTGTAGGGTAAGATAGATTTCTATACCCAGCTGAGTATGTATGTTATTACCATTCCGAGCCAGTTCCAACGAGAGTAATGTTCAAGCGTTATCTGCCACCCCTCTCCCTATCTCCCCCATCTACAGTAGTTCTTTCAAGCTTCTTTTATGTGAGCTACATTCTACCTCTCTCTTCCTCCTTCTCCCCGCGTGGATCCCTCTTTCTCCCTCCTTAATTTAATTTTTTCTTAGCTGGTATCCCATCATAGTCAATTTACACCTGTGCCCTCTGTCTATGTATATTGCTTCTAACTGCCCTAATAATGATACATTTCTAAGAAGTTACAAGTATTATCTTCTCATGTAGGAATATAAACAGTTTAAACTTATTGAGTCTCTTAGAATTTCTCTTTTCTATTTCTCTTTTATGCTTCTCTTTAGTCTTGTATTTGAAAGTCAAATTTTCTATTCAACTCTGATCTTTTTATTAGGAATGCTTGAAAGTCCTTTATTTCATTAAATGTCCATTTCCCCCTGAAGGATTGTACTCAGTTTTTCTGGGTAGGTTGTAATCCTAGGTCTTTTGCCCTCTAGAATATCATATTCCAAGCCCTCCAATACTTTTACATAGAAGCTGCTAAATTATATGTTCTACCGACTGTGGCTCTACGATATTTGAATTATTTCTTTCTGGCTGCTTGCAAATTTTTTCTCCTTGATCTGGGAGCTCTAGAATTTGGCTGTAATATTCCTGGGAGTTTTCATTTTGAGATCTCTTTCAGGAGGTGCTTGGTGAAGTCTTTCAATTTCTATTTTGCCTTCTGGTTCTAGGATATCAGGGTAGTTTTCTTTGATAATTTCTTGAAAGGTGATGTCTAGGCTTTTTTTTTGATCATGGGTTTCAGATAGTCCAATAATTCTTCAATGATCTCTCCTGGATTTATTTTCCAGGTTAGTCATTTTTCCAATGAGATATTTCATATTTTCTTCTACTTTTTCATTCTTTTGATTGTGTTTTGTTGTTTCTCGATGTCTCATGGAGTCATTAAATTCCACTTGCCCAATTCTAGTTTATAAGGAATTCTTTTTTTCAGCAAGCATTTGTATCTCCTTTCCCATGTGGCCAATTCT